GACAAACGCGTGGCTTTGCCGACGTGCACGTTGCAATACTGAATTTCTCTGCACAATCACACCCGTGTTGTTTTGGTAGTAAACGAAGGGACGTACAAACAAAAGCACGCTAGTGATGACATGGATCTGTCAGCATGCTACGTGGTTAAAAAAAAAAATAAATCTTGTTTTCTCCTTTGCTGCCTTGGAACCCACTATTTGTGTGTTCATACTTAAAAACCGCTCCTGTGTTATCTGTTTGCAATATCCATGTTTGATGAACGCAATGAGACTTAGTTTGCATGCTAATGTAACAAAACAAGGCAGAACAGATCAACTCCCCTGCTGACACGTGCGTTATTTGGGTGACGCTACTACTGACCGAAGGACGGGTAGCTTTAATCCCCTGATACTGGTTTGCAGAGCTGCTCAAGATTTGATCTCCCCACAAGTATCTCCCAACCCTCTCTCAGATGGTATGTCGCTATTTGCTAGAAATTACTGCTCAGTTACTTTTTTTATTTCATCTCTCATCCTTTCGTACGTTAAAAACCAATTTTTCAGGATCAAAAGGTGTTTTTTCATGGAAGTAGATCTAAGCATTAACCGATTAACCATTCGTACAACAGGTTTATTATTTAACAAGTACAAAACACTGTTGTCATCTGTCTTTGCTACTGCAAGAAGGTAGTCTGGATTTTTTTGCAAACATTTTTGTCTCGGACATTTTGGGAGCACTCAGGAGGATCTGCCTTGGTCAAGCCTGTATCAGGCTATCACCTATTACACTGCACTCCTGGATCAGCACCAGAGAATTTCTTAATAGCAAACAGGACTGAAAATGTATCCTGACGGCTCATTTGCTAAAAGCTGACTTAGGAACTCACAAGCAAGTCATCACTAGCATTGGTCTTTTTAGAAACGCTTGGTTTCAGGGTACTGAAGCACATGTTGCCTGAAAATACCTGGAGATCATTTGTACACATAGGTCCCACGTGGAGAAGTCCTGTCCTGCCCTCCATCCTAAACCATCAGCAGCTCCAAGCCACGACGTAAGACTCAACGTACAAGGGTAGAGCGTGAAGTCCTGCTGCTTTCAGAAGATGGGGATGCTTCTTGTCAGCACGAGTGCACTGTATTTGTGTTCAGCTTTACTCTCTGCTTTTAAGATCCGCTCATATTTTGTTAAATCACTATTAAGATTTATTAGTCATACACAGCAATAGGAGCTGATTCAGTACCCTGTTACTCTATTTGCCCAGACCGTTGTTTGACCGTTATTTTCACTCAGACAGATATTGGCAGTACGTTACATAAATAAAATAATAATGGCAACGTACCAAACATTCCTATTGACCTGTTGTGCCCTTATTCTCTTGCAGGAAAGAACAGAGTTCGGCCTGAGCCTGCAAAGAACAGCGAGAACATAGTTTCTACCCTTTTCCTAGCTGTTAAAAGTTTCTACTTTTCAGGGAGTATTCCGTATTCTAAGTCATCTAAGAAATCTCTCCTTCTCCTTTATTAGAACCTGGTGCTTCTCATTTGTCTCAAGGGTAAGGGCCACAGATCTGTGCATGCTTCTGTTCCAGAGCACCTCCGAAAACCTGAAGTTGGTCCTGAAGTCAAAATATCACCCAAGTTGAACAATGTGTCTTCTTTTTAGCTAAGACCAACACATCCTGACTGTCCATCCTACGACGGAGGAAGCTATTGTCTGCATTGGGCTCCATCTGCCTTTCTCTTAAGATATCCTCCCCATATTGCTGGTCTGTCTTCTTGAATTCACGCTTCCTTCCCGGCTCTATTGCTTCTCTCATGCCGAGAACTTTGAAGCAGATCCCTGTTCGTGCATTGATCAAAAAGATGAAGAGAAACCACCTTTCCACTTGCAAGACTTTAGGCAGCTAAATATACAGAAAATCCAATACAGCACTCCATATCCATATATTTTAGGGTATTATTTTACACAAGGGAAGCGTGGTACAGAAAGTAAACCAGACAGGAGAAGAGGCAGAGCAAAACAAAGAAACAAGGCAGGGCAAAAATACAGCAGTTTAACATAGGAATACTGCTGAGGTAAGGCAAACTTTGTCAAAGTTGACGTTTCATTACTGTGCTCGGTCTCAACAGCAGCACTCGGTCTTTCCTTCGTACAAAATTCATTGCTGTTTCTGAAACATAAAATCTAAACATGAAGCATACCTGGAATTCTTCACCGTTTAGCCGAGGAAGGCATTCATACTGTAGAAGTTCCAGTTTAACCAGTTGGTGGTTGCTCCCCTCCTTCTGGGCACCAGATAATGTCATTATCCATTTGCATGAAATCTAACTCCTCAGGACCTGTCACTCATACCAGGATACACTTTTTTCCCCACTTTAAAACTGTGGGAAAACACAGCAAGGGAAATAGCAGGGACAAGTAGCAGGTATACTGACTTTTTGTCATATTTATTTAATTGTTGTTGTATGGGAGGTCATGGTGAACGTCTGGCTTAAAATGATAGTTTGATGAAATAATGGTACGTGCGTGCTTGCTGCTGTCTTTTAATAGAGGCTTTTTGAAGCATACGGACAACTTTAATGGAAATCAGCAGAAATCTAACCCCTGCAAGTGCAACGCTTGCGAACGTAGTCGTAGGCTTTATTATGGGCAACAAGAACGTGAGTACAGAGTATTTTTTGAGGTGATGGGGCTGGCAGGCTGAAGGGAGCACCAAAACCATACAACTAAAGAGACAGTAAAGCAAACAAAACCCCCACCGCCACCAAAAAACACACCACCAAAGCCAAACTTTGAAGGAGTACTCTATTAAGCTGATGGTCCAGACCTGACTTTGTTGAATTTATATAGCTTTTGGAGAGATCTTTCCAAAATAACCCTGGATTAAATAAACATTTAAATATTTTATAATAAATTAGGAGACCAGGAAAATTTAAAGAAGATAGTGGAAGAGAAGCCGGAGTTGCAGGTTCATGGAAAAAGATAACTACCAAAGGGAAAAATAACCCAGTCAAAGTCTGATTCTGCCATCAGTGTCCCTGTTATATGATGCAGTGACACAGAAGTAAAGGTGTGACTCTACTTGAACTAGCTCGTTTGTAATTGCTTGGGTAATAATAAGATACAGTGCTGTGATTTGGCACAGCCTAACCACAGGTTTACATAAAATGAGACCTGCTTATAGATGCTACAGAAATAGCCCAAACAAAGCGAGTAAGCAGAGTTCAAGTGATAAAGCAAGCAGTCTCACACTTTTGGGGGATGAGGAACATAAAACAGCCTTTTACTCTACTAAAATTAACAGCTCTCTTTTCCATCACAACGAGGAGTGTTTCAAAAACCAGCAAAGGCCTCCATTAATTGTTTTAAAAACAAAAGAAAATGAGAGGAGAAATAGAAGAAACGGGTACAAAATAGAGAGGAAAGGCTGAAATGCATTTTATTTCACAACATATAAGAATTAAGAAGGAAAGTGTACTGAAATAAAGAAAAGCACTGAAGGAAAATGAGGAAAACCAACACTTTAATGTACTTATTAATTGTATGTAATTACTTATTCCACTATTGCCTTTTTCCGCGACATTTTATTGATGATGTCTCATGGACCATCAATAAAGTAACACTATAAAAAGCCCTAGAATCTGATTTCCTTCTGGCATTTGTGCCAGATTGACAGTACCTAGTCCATGACAAAGGGGCAACCAGTCCAGTTTGAAGACTTGATGCAAGAGCAAGGGGGTGGGGAATAATTTAAAAAGAGATCAATAATAATGTGTTAACTTTGAAAGGAACACCAAGTGAAACAAACGAATAAATAATTAGTTTAAGGGTAACAGTATTTTCAAAGCAAATGGACTACTTCTGTTACCAAGAAGATAGGGCATTGGACAGCTAGTAAGACGGCGAGGCATTCCGCTTCCAAACGATAAAAGGTGAGAATTAATATTACACTAATGAGCCACAAGCGTACTGCTGGCTTGTTTTTTATTAACACTAATAAATGAGCTCATAATACTGATCAGAAGTGGCTTTTTTTTTTTCTCCACACATCTCACAAAAGAATTTCAGGTGACAAGTACTATGATACATATGGTAGAAACAAACAGCTGTGGCCACAAAGATGTTTTGTTAACTGATGATTAATATATTCAGGAAGCAATCACACTATTCATTAGTAAAAGTTTACAAACATTAAAAAGTGCATAACATTTGAAACCAACAACAACACAAAAATATATATAATATATATACTATATATAAAGAAAGTGACATCACCTCCTGTTACCAAAAGAAAACAAATCATCTGACTTTGTGATTGGTGCGTATGTGATTGCCTTGGTTTACTAGTCAGTCGCTCGCTCGACTCACCTTAGTTATGCAGAGGTGGGGCTGCCCCATTTTGCAGCGTTCAGCCTCACGTGTGGCCTCGTCTATTGGGGCGTGATGGGGGAAAGGAAATCAATCCGCATAGCTACTGCAGAATAGGTTATTAATTTGTAGATATTTTAAGTAATCCCCTGGATGGACAAGCTATCCTGGTATTTTGATGAAGGTCCAGTTTGGAATAGCTGAAATGGGAAAAAAATATCCAATCTTTTGGGTGCTAGATGCCAAGTCTCTCCATGCCCGTTCCCCCTCCTAGCCAAAAGGCTGCTGTAGCAGCTTTTAGCACTTGGCTGTACCCAATGCATCACTAACAGGCTACCGGCTGTGCAAACTCAACAGCCTGCTCAACTGAGGCAAAGGCAAGGAATAGAAGAGAGAGGGGGGAAAAAAAAGTCCCCTTGGCTGGATCCAGCCCACGATCCACTAGTTGGACTATCCTGCAATCTAAAACTCATGCCAGAATACGTAATCAGCAATAACCTATGCCGGTTATTTTCCCGTGTGTAAACAAGGCCCATCTTTAACAACGTGAACCAGGAAAATCTCTAGCACCACGGAATTTGTTTGAATTTTAAGCCATGTAAAGTTTTATAATGTATTTTTAAAACTACCATAACAATAAAATACTTGGACTAACATTTTAAAAAAATATCTGAGAGAAAGATTATGAAATTGGGAGTAAAATTAGAAAAATGGGGAAGAACATAAAAGATTCAATTTGAGTCTCTGATATGCAACTAACTACAAGCAAGTGGCAAAACCGTACCGAGGACACAAAAACACGCTGAAGTATTCACATTAACAAATCGTTTTGAAGGCTCATCTAGTAACCAATTAAGAGTGTTGCAAAGTCATTTAGGTTTAGGCATAATCAATTTAGCGGTTGACGTTTTAAATCTATCATGTGCACATCACCACATTATGCAAAAAACCAGCCCTTTCAAAACGCGTGGTAGAAAAATTCACAGTAACAGAAATATTCTTCATAAGCAGTTGAGAAGGGGCAGTGTGGAGCATCTAAGTCGTACAATACAAAAACCATTGTAAATAACAGAGCTGTAAAACAGATGCAAAGTTCTAAAAACAGTGCTTTCTTTACAGTTCTTTTAATGGGTGAACACTTTGGCCAGAGAATTCTAAACTCTGAGGATCACACAAGCCTTTGCTTAAGATACACAATTAGATCCTCTGACGTTTCAAAGGCCGTTTGCTACACGATTTACCGGTTCTACTTTCTAAAAGTGTTCCCATCAAGTAGTCATTATGCAGGGATCCATCTGATGACACTATCCCCCCCAAAAATCAATACACGTTCAACCATTGCTAATGACAGAGGTAGAGAAAAGTCTGTCTTCTGCCACAGCTTGTACCCCCATTTTTAGCATTGTGTTGAGTGGGTTCCAGCAGTGAAGACACATGCACTTTCTTTTCCACCAGCTCGCTCATGGAAACAAATTTGTTCCAGCATGCTCTCGTAGTCTGAAAACATCCCGCAGCTGCTCCAGGCAGTCAAAGTCGGATGTCAGCTTTCTTGCTTTGCTGCCTCCCCTTGAGCCTCCCCGGTTTGCTCACTTGGATTTCGTTGTGCATCTCCTTCTCCTTCTACAACAGACAAGAAAAGGATGAGTCATCCACCCTAAAACAAAGAGGTCTTTGTCTTGCTCCCAGAACCCCAACCGTTCATCTGGCAGGCTCAAAAACAAAGTAAAAAGAAATTGAAACGGAAATCTTGCGTTAAATATGAAACCTTTTACTAGTAAGGTAGCCATACTTTGCATCTCAAGAGATCCCTTCAAAACCAAATTCCTAGCTGCAACCACCACTATCATTTTAAGTACAGACCTAAAGTAGCTAGAAATGAAAGATTTTAACCAAAACCTTAGGGTATTTTTGACAATTTATTCACTCTGATACTGTGACAATTAAGAGAAAAAACCTCATTACCCCAAGTCTGAACAGAGTTTACTATAAAGAGATGCAACTCCAAGAAAAGCAATAGTTTGTTAAAGCTGTGTTAGCTCTGTGCATCGACTTTCAGTACCGTGCCCCAGGGTCTCACTGCAAACCACGGAGCGGTCTGAGGGATAAAAAACACCTTGCAGAGGCGCAGTGACCAGGTAACTCACGAAGCCTGTCTAAAGAAGGCTAAGAAGTGCACTGACAACGGTCTAGCAGTACCTATACGCAAAGTGTTGTATTTCACCTAACGATTAAAGACCTGACAGGTTCAGACAGCTGGCAGCCAAGTGCAAATAAGAGAGAAGTCCCTGAGCACTGGACTAACTAGCTATAGGTACATAATAAAGAGTAATGTTAGGTAAGGAATAACGTTAAGACATAAGTAGTCTCTTGTATCTTGCAAGGATTCTGAGTAATTTGTATTCAACTGGCTTGACACAGTAGCTAAGAGAAAAAAAATCTATAGACTAAGTTGTAAAGAGGTCTAAGTAGAGGTAGTAGTGCCTTTTTAATCTATAGATCTTTAGAATGAAGGCAGGGTTCTCAATACAGGTATTTATTGTTTCTCCATTTCAAATCACGTAGTACATCTGCAGCTTTGTTTATAGAAAAAAGCACCGTAAACACTTTCTCTTTTCTATATAGAAAAAATGGCACATTGCTAATGGAAAAAAAAACTTCTTTGCATTGCGAAGAACATTGCAAAAAGCTCAGATGTGACAGCTGTGTTTTGTGTGTGCACTGAGTATTTAGGGGGGAAAATGCTGCAGAAGGTATTGGTAATTATCAAATTCAACCTGATGAAAAGTTGTATGGAAGGTTGATTAACCTACTAACCAGTGAGGTTTGTCCTGTTTGATATAGGTTGAGTAACAAAGAAAAACTTGTTTTGCAAGGGACTTTCTCAGAAAACTATTTCTCAGTTTTATCTCCCACATTACAAAGGATTCCATCAGGATGGATCTACAGGCAATCACTTCCTATTGCACAGAAATCCCTTTTGCCCAAGTCGTCCAAACACCTTCTACAAAGCCATTCTATAAAACCAGAACATTTGTTCTGATATTGCAAAAGTCCAGACAAGTAGAATCTGTTTTGGTTTTTTGTTTGGTTTTTTTTTTTAAATTCCTTTTTTTTTTTTTTTGGTCAGCTCTGAACTCCATTTATTCTGACTACTAGAAAGTCTTGAATATCCCTCATACTATCTGGGCAGGTCAAAAAACAACAACAAAAACCCAAACACAAAACTGAAGAGAGAAAAACCTTGCCAGGTATTTGTGTTTAAAAGAAAAATCATCCTGGACATGAAGCCCAAACATTTCACTACCTAAATGTTAAATGTAGTGCACAAAGATTCAGAGAAAGCGCACTACGGTTCTTAAAAGATTTTCTCAACTCACTGAAAAAAAACTCACTAGTCTAAATCCATTTAATCTATAATACACTGGCTTAGTGCTGCAGACTTTGTCTTTTTGCTGGCAGTGCTCTCCTACCAAAGGCCTCAAAATACATTTACGGAAGTAATTTTGCTTCTAAGTTCTGAGAATCCCAAAATTGCCTAAGCACACTTCTGAACTATTCTTCCTTCAAAACATGCTGGCTACAAGCTCTTAAGAGTAAGAGTTGCGATTCTTACCCAGCATTTTGAAACCAACAGGCTGTATTAGAAAACCCCAAACCAAGTAAAGTGATACTGTAAGCCATAATACAGTTGGTAAGTTAGCAACAGTTACTAGTTCTGCTGAGGTGCAGCTTTTAACTCATTTTTCTTCTGTAACATTACTGACTCTTCAGTGCCTACCACTGTTCCCGATGCTTACACCTAACACATTTCTACCATGAACTAAAACCACTTTTAATCACAAGTTTCTCCAATCAGTCCTTCATTCCAGTTCTGTATGGTTCAATGCCTCTGCTATCCCCAGTTTGTTGTAGACGGTTGGACCATTACAACTTTAACAAGGAAGTCTTCTTTCCGCTCCTGCCCTGCATCTGTGGTCTGTGGCCTATCTGCAGATACCGAGAAAACCAGAAGTTAGTTTTAGAGACTGGACTTGCAGAGACCGGTCCTCGTTCTTCCTTGTACTTTTTCCTTACTACTTTATTTAGCTACAATCACCTGTAAGATGACCTGAATATAAAATTCCTTGGAATTGCATTGGTTACCTTGAGAGAGAGTTGAGCAGGTGAGCTACCTGCTGATTTCCCTACTAAAGTCTTTCTTCTGCCTTCTGTCTTATGATTTCTGTTGCAGTTGTCTACTTATCAGAGGTAGACAGTGTTGCTTTTACTAAATTTAGATAGAACGTGTTGCCACAGAGTACTCAGAACCTATATTTTGAAGTTTGCTAAATACATCCATTCCATAGATATTAGCAGGTTATTAGCTTATTATGGACAAAGAACACCGGAACAGCTGTTTTGAAGGGAGAGTATTCAAGAGTAATTATATGTATTACACATAATTACGCAGTAAGCTCTTGGTTATCTGTCACTGGCTCATCAATGAGGGGATTAACCAGCACTCGCTTCAGGTATCAAGTAGTGCATGACAGAAAATAAGTGGTTTTTGAACAAGGTCTTACTGCCGAGTGCTGTCCAAAGCTGTTCCTGGTCTTCACAGGAAACGTATCTGCAGGCTTTTCAAAGTGAACGTACTAAATATGCTTGGGTAGCTTAATTTACATATGTTTTACAATAACTTTTTTTTTTTTGATCTGCACTATCCTACTCTGCCATTACTCCATGCAGTTGAAGGCTAATGTATTTGCCCTTTTGCAAGACAATGCATATAGCTGTAATAGGAACAAAAAAAATAAGAATCAAAACTTGATGTCTCTGCATTAGTTAGTACTTAGCATAAATTGTTTGACTTGCACCTTGAAAGGAGTAAGATATAGCCTCCAAACATGTGTTTCCTTCTTAATCCTGTCAGGTCTGATGCATATATGCATCCCACAAGCACTAGTATATTCTGAACGGGAATTTGGAATGCAAAATATTTTTTACCCTCTCTTTGGTTTGGAAGGACATGACTGGATTATACACTAATACAAATGATAATACAATGCATTTTCCAATATTTCTGGTTTGAAGGCTTTTATCCAGCATCTAGGTGTATTAATAATACACAATTTAAACATATTTTCATTGCATCTAACTCAAACTGCCTAACCTCCTGAAGAAGTATGCAGGCATCTTTGTGTATCTACCTAATTTTACGGGCAACTCTGTACACTTTTCTGCAATGATTAAGTTACCCAAGCTGCAAAAGAGGTCTCCAAGAAAAACTAAATAGACTCCTGAATTATGTATTAAGAATTAGGCTAATGGTTATTTAAACCATTCTCATCACTACAGAGCTAACTGCATGTACAAAACACATAGCAACATCTATTACAGGCAAAAAGTCACATTCTTTTTATGGCTCTCAAAAGAACACAGTTCTGGTTTACAATCACTCCAACAGCTTAACTTAAAAATATGGATTGTTTATATCTTCTACATGGACAAGGTCAAAGACAATTCTGAGAAGTGTCAATTTGAGACTGAAGAACATTAAAGCAAGGAGGAAGGCTGGCATTATGCATTTCAAATGCCACTTACTGATATTTTTTTCCAACATTTTACACGTATCCCCACATTAAAATAAATAGACACACCTACACACATACTAATAAAGCTTTTCTTTTTAAGTAGAAAAAAAAATAAATTTAAAGGCCCTGCCTAGCTGGAATGGCATGCATCTAGAAGCTATAGGCCCCAAACTGGCAACTGCAGAAGGAATGACTTCGAATGTACATTAGTCTGAATGCCAAAAAAAGCACACCCCCCCCTCCAAACAGCACTACAAGCACCCAGATGTCACGACTGTCCAGGGATGAGACTGCCTCTCAGAACTCTTGCATTGTCTCCAAGAAAAATACGTGCACAAACAGGGCAGCTGCTTATCCATAGTTTGTTCTCTGCTGCATTTGTTTTCTTCTGCTATTATTAAAATAAGCATAAGACCTCTTTCCTAAGATCTGAAAAGGGCTTTCAAATATCTCTGAGAGCCATTCATTAACCCCTACCCACCTAACATGAAAATAATTACACAGCCACATTACTGTTTTTATTTAATGCAAGGCCCTTCAGCAGACACTGTCCCTCCTTCCTCTCAACCGAAGGTGCACAACCACCTAAAAATTTTGGTAGTATTAGAGGTGAAGTAAGCTTTAGGGTTGCATTAGTGCTAATTGCCTTAAAAGAAGGACAAAATATCAGCAGAAAGGGGAAAGAGACAATTTACCCAGAAACAAAGATCCATGTAAAACAATGCATTGCTATTGCTCTGCCCCCCCAGCAGCTGAAAACAAAACTGAACTCCACAATAACCTTTCAAGCAGACAGATGGCTTTTCCTACAGCTTCAGACCAGAGAGTTTCCATTAAAGGATATTATGAAGAGTTGGGTCTTAATAAAACACTTCCTTATTTTCTTCCTTATACTCCATTTTCCATAAAATTTATCCTGATATGGACCCTGCTGCTAGGCACTCACTGCAGAATGACTTTTCATTTTTCAGTCATATGTTGTACTTGTAAATAATCACCCTTCCCATTTATGAAATCTGGGCTTCTCATTGCAGGCAACCCCTGCCGATCAGAAAAAAAAAAATTTTCTTTGCTGAGGGACAAGGGAATAATGTGTGCATATAAACCATGTTTTGTGTACTACTCTTTTCATTTTAGTTTTAAATAAATATAATAAAAACCCAAAACGTACTCACCTGCTTTGTTTATATCAAGCTCTGATAACTTTAAGGCTAGTTCACTGGAGTTCCCACCCGGAGAGGACACAAGTATGTCATGTAACGCATTTCTTCTACCTGTTCTTCCTGAAGCAATAAAGTCTGCATATGTAGATTCCACATCAGTCATTGCTAACAAATATCCACATAGCAGTACCTGGGTGGGAGAGGGAAAAAAAAACAAAACACAAACAAAACAACAACACTTAGACCACCAGAAAAACAGATGACATTATGGAACGGGAATAGAAGAAGTAGAGGGTTCTCATTGTGGAGCAGATTGGCTAAGCAGTAAGCAGCAAAAGAAGATGCCTCAGTCTCAAAATACGGGGAAATTGGAGAAGAAAGAGTAGAAAGCAAAAAAGGTGTGTGGATTTTATGCAAGCTGTATTCAACAGTATTTTAAACAACTTCATTTTTCATACTTCATAAAGTGCTAGCGAGTACTTTATAAAAGCAATGACCTCAGCAATGTAATTTCTTTATCGAGCTGTCTCTGCTTTTAATATTAGCTGGGAAGTAGGAGGTAGGTAGGGGGTGGAACAAAGTTCTTTTCTGCACAAAAAGCAGAGTGTAAGGAGTAAGAAGGTACAAATCCATAATGCTTTTGCATGCAGAACACTGTGCTCGTACACAGGCACAGCTACGTTTTGTGCGTTTGCCTTTCTGTTGGTAGGATTCGTTTTGGCGTTGTATATAGACCTCCTCAGACTCAACTAACTTATTTTGGTGTGGTAGTTGCACCAAAGCGAATGCATTACCATAAAGTCACTGAAAGGAGTGCAGACAGGCTAACAGAGCAAACGGAATAGCTAAACTGTAATGCAGAGGTCAGAAAGCAGTGCTCTGTAAGGCAGCTACAAACCTAGAACTTCTTTTCATTAGAAGATAATTATTTCTCATGTTATCATGGAATTATGTGATGATGTGCATTAATGTCAGATCTGCCAAAGATACAAGGAAACTCCTGTTTCAACCTAAGTAAGGGATCGATTTGCATCCCTGCTGGAATATCTGCTGTATCTGCTATAGATCTAACCAGTTAGGATTATTTTTTTTTTCCCCCCTTAATTTATAGAATTGTGAAGGGGAGGGAGCAATGTGCTTTCTCTTGCTGATCCCACTGCTTTTACTGTACTTCCATTTGTACTCATCTCAGGTTTCCTGCAAAAAACCAAGGCTACCAGGCTTCCAATGGAGCTTCCCTCACGTTTTATGTTCGGATGTAGGAGGGGAACCAGGGAAGCTTTCTGCCAGAGCAGCACTCCAAAGAAGTACCAGGGAATCACTAAACGCAACCAGCACCCCCCCAAGCTGTATGCTTCCTTCGTTTCTAAGCAGTATGTCTGTGGTTTTGCGTACTGCCGAGAGGACACGGCCGTAAAGGCAACACTACGCAGTTGCATACGGCGAGAAGCTATTATTACCAAAGTGTATCAGCTATATTACTATAGTAGCTATTATTACTAAAGGAGTTGAAGCTTCACATTTGCATAGAGCATATAGATCTTCTTCATCAGTTCCTATTGCAGTCACTGGACATTGAAGAAGCCCCTGAAGTCATCACAAACTAACAGCAGCAAAAGATTCAGCTTTCTCTCTTTAAATAAAAAGAAGAAAATCTCATTTTTTATAACTGTTTTTTATTTTAAAAGTAGGTATGTAAAAGACAACAGTCAACCCTTCCCCATCCTCAACTCTAAATAATTCCACAAATCCTGTCCATTCTTCATTCTAGTCCTCACCGCCCCAACTTCAGTCAGCTGTATGAGGGTGTACGTATGCTGTATCCGAGAAGCCAAGAAAAGGGTTGTACACCGTATTTTATTTAGTCTAAATATAACTGTATCAAGTATCATTGCAAAACTGACTGACTTACAAAGTTCATTGCTACCAAGCTTTGGTGTCCCATACCAAATGTCGAATGGCTGACAGGATACTTTTACTCCTATGAACAACCACTATGAAACAGGAAACTGCTTAAAAAAAATAAAAATGCTAAATCCCCACAAAACAAACAAAAAAAACCACCAAAAAACCACCATCAACAAAAAAAACCAACCCACAAAACCTAACAGCAAACACCCAGGGAATGGAGAGAGCTCAGCATTGACTGAAAGCCTGCCAGACAAACAAAAAAAATAGCGTAGTGCCTCTCAATTACCAAATGCTTTCACGAGCGTGAGAGCACGTGCATTTCTGCCCATGAAGTGCCCTCTTCTTGAAACACTGCAAGAATACTGAAGCAAATGAGAAATTTACCATTTGTTCCTTGCCCATGGTGCAGACATTGCAATGCCAAATATTATCAACCACGTAGTAATGAAGCATATAACTTGCAAAGGTGAAGGGGAAACGGTGAGGACAGTTGTGATAAGGTAAGAAAACACCACAAGTTTTCAGCCTTAACTGACCTGTTCACTGAAGAATATCATCTAGCAAGATCAGAAGATAAAAGACGTTCAGTGAAGCTTCCGTGAGTTGTATTTGTTCATGCCTGTTATTGCAACCGGCCTGTAGCAAAGGAAGTGCAAAACCTGAACATAACCAATGTACAGGCTTGGATTTTGTCATTAGTGTAGCACCACTCCAAAGTCATCATAGCTATTGCTCCTGCAGAGACAATAATTTCATTTTAGCATAGAAAAAGAAAAACACCACAGAGAAGAATATTCTTTTGCTGCTTTGGAAGCTGCACATCGGTGCATCAGGAACAGAAGAAGCAGAGGAGCCCCGTGACCGAGGTGGAACGAGGTATAGGGCTGCAAGGCTGGCAAAACGAGCAACGTTGTACTCCATGAGCGATGCTCTGGGCTGTACAAACTGCGCTCCACAGAATATGCTTCTGTAAGTCTCCATTGTTCTTGAAATGTTCCGTAAAACATGGACAGCACCAGGGGATCTCTCAAGCTTATTTAATTTTAGCTATGAAACAAGCTATAAAGCCATAGGAAAATGTGCTTGTGGGGAACTTGTATTTTAAATGTTCGTTTTCTATGGGCTCAATATGGCATTACTATCAACAATCTGATCAAAAAAGAACGTTACCAAACATACATTTATTAACACTTCCAAGTTTTCCTGTCTGCATCTTCTCCTACATATCAAACACCATTCTGTTTTGTATTGGCATTATCTTGAGACATTACCGCATAAATATGGAACTCCACTGACATCAGCCGAGTTCCCCTTCCAATGAATGGCTCTGTGCCCAGCAGTCTGTACTTATTCACTGAACCAGTCATTAAGGAATTACCATTCACTCCAAAAACCCTTTTTTTTCCTTCAGTCTCTGTGGAAGGAGTGGAATTTGCTGATAATTCTCTGAAACTTAATTTGAATTTCCTAGTTAATTGCACTAACAGATATTCCTGCATTAAAGATTGTGGTTGCAGTCCCTCTAATTCTATTAATATATTTTTTTCTTTTTTTTGAAAGTTGCACAACCAGTACTCTGCTAGATGGTGTTGAACTGAAAGAAGGCAGTTGCAAGCCTCGCTGTTTCTGCAAACTAAAGCAAGCAGTTCTGTGAGCACAAGGACTAATGAAACCTGCTGTCACAGGACTGGATTCCTTGGTAACTGGTAACTTGCTATCCCACTGGAAGCCTCCCTCAACTGTGCTTTGTCTTTCCCCACACGTAGAATCACTTCGCTTGAAAACGGGTTAGAGTTTGCGATACAGCCCTGGGCATTTTCATATGGCATCTTTCCTCAGCTTCTTAGTTTCATAAAACTTCTAGAAATATGGGTATCTTAGACTTCTCCCTCTTTCCCCTCCCAGCTCCTTCCTCCCAAAGAATGTGGTGCTGAAAATTAGTTGAGACCACTTGAAGAATTACGGAGGTTGAGGAAGGTAGATAGGCATGGTTGCTGTCTTGGATTTTAGCCAGTGTAACACCACATCTCTGTATTATTAATGAATATTCTGAATAACATATACTGCTACACCTGCAAACAGCCTACTTCTACATCCTATGCAAATGAAGAAGTTTTATGGGGAACATCATAAGGAGTAAAATTAGTATCCAGAGAATGCAGGAGGAAAAAAGAGGGATGATAAGAACAGTATAATTTAATAGGTACAGAAAGAATCAGTATTTGTGTTTCCAGAAACTTGCTGGAATACTCCTTGATCTCCACAGTCCAATTTGTACGTTAAATTGTCCATTTCCGTGCTATATGTAACAAATCTTATCCCACAAGTTTATGAAGGTAACTGTCAAATTTCTACAACTGTTTTCCTTCTTCTACGTACTTTGGTTTTATTGAAAGAACTCTTAAACCCCCCCCTAAGAAGTTAGTGATGGCTTCACAAATGAAATCCCAATTTGACGGCATTCCATCACCGTTGGAAGCCTGGTGTTACACAGTGCCATTGTTCGCAAGAGTTTGGAAATGGAACCACAGAAATTGTGTGGCATACCAGCATGAATTAAAACTCAGTCTTTATACAGTTCACCGGCTCGAAGTACCTAGGGTTGTTGAATTTAGTCTGTTTAAGGGACTAGCTAGCTAAAAGAAGTCCAAACACATTTGAAGTACTTTTAAAATAATAATAAATACTAATTAGTGAAAGGAAGACAGAATAAGAACAGGCTTGTCTATGGGATTTGGCATATGACACTGGCTAGCACAGGAGAGCTGCCATTTTCTTGGCGAAGCTGCAGCGTAAGACTTAAGAGGTACGATCCTTCAACGTTTACTCACCCTCTTTCTCCATAGATGCTTAATGATGGCATTGAATAAGGGATTTGAAATAAAACTCTCCCAGGCTTTGGCTGCTAAATGTTGTATCACGATCAGCACATTATTTAAATATAATTATCTATATTCAGCTTTCGTAAGGGAACAAAAAAAAAGCGAGAACTTGTCATTTAATAGCATGTCTGTTTTAGAGAAGGTGTATAATTATGCTTTTAAAATAAATTTTGGTTCCACATCCAGCCTTAGCTTAGAGACAGGGCTCTTTCCAGTGGGGAGATAGCTCTGTTCCACAGCAACCCATACCTAGATTCCCCCCTCATGCAGGAACTGCTATGTCGAAAGCAGAAACAGAGGAACAATTTAACAAAAGTGTATTTCTTCCACAAGAGATGATATCTGTTGTGCTATACATTAGTATTGCTTTTGCACAGACACAGATGAGCAAGA